GTCTAGTAGCGATGGCCTCCAACCAAGTAGCGATGGCCTCCAACCTAATAGCGATGGCCTCCAACTCAACACCAATGGCCTCCAACCTAGTAGCGATGGCCTCCAAACTCAGAGCGACGGCCTCCAACCTAGTAACGATGGCCTTCAGTCATAGTAGTGATGGCCTCCAACCAAGTAGCGATGGCCTCCAACCTCATAGCGATGGCCTCCAACTCAACAGCAATGGCCTCCAACCTAGTGGCGATGGCCTCCAAACTCAGAGCGACGGCCTCCAACCTAAAAACGCGATGGCCTCCAACTCAACAACAATATGGCCTCCAACCTAGTAGCGATGGCCTCCAAACTCAGAGCAACGGCCTCCAACCTAATAGCGATGGCCTCCAACTCAACAGCGATGGCCTCCAAACTCAGAGCGACGGCCTCCAACCTAATAGCGAGGGCCTCCAACTCAACAGCAATGGCCTCCAACATAGTAGGGATGGTCTCCAAACTCAACAGCAATGGCCTCCAACCTAGGAGCGATGGCCTCCAAACGCAACAGCAACGGCCTCCAACCTACTAGCGAAGGCCTCCAACTCAACAGCAATGGCCTCCAACCTAGTAGCGATGGCCTCCAAACTCAACAGCAATGGCCTCCAACCTAGTAGCGATGGCCTCCAAACTCAACAGCAATGGCCTCCAACCTAGTAGCGATGGCCTCCAACTCAACAGCAATGGCCTCCAACCTAATAGCGATGGCCTCCAACCTAATAGCGACGGCCTCCAACTCAACAGCAATGGCCTCCAACCCAATAGCGACGGCCTCCAAACTCAACAGCAATGGCCTCCAACCTAATAGCGATGGCCTCCAAACTCAACAGCAATCGCCTCCAACCTAGTAGCGATGGCGCCCAAACTCAACAGCAATGGCCTCCAACCTAATAGCAATGGCCTCCAACAGCAATGGCCTCCAACCTATTAGCGATGGCCTCCAAACTCAGAGCGACGGCCTCCAACCTAGTAGCGATGGCCTCCAAACTCAACAGCAATGGCCTCCAACCTAAATAGCGATGGCCTCCAACCTAATAGCGACGGCCTCCAACCTAATAGCGATGGCCTCCAACCTAATAGCGACGGCCTCCAAACTCAACAGCCATGGCCTCCAACCTGGTAGCGATGGCCTCCAAACTCAGAGCGACGGCCTCCAACCTATTAGCGATGGCCTCCAAACTCAACAGCAATGGCCTTCAACCTAATAGCGATGGCCTCCAACCTAATAGCGATGGCCTCCAACCTAAAAGAACCAAAACCTCAAATCGTAGTGCCGAGAAGCCCCGGTCGATGAGCTCCATGGGTGCGCCGGCCAAGCGCGCAGCGATGAGTGCACGCTTCAACTCCTAGCAGTTCACGGTTTGGAGCCCCTTGTTCCTAGCTAGTAGCTTCCTTGCTTCTAGTAGCGATGCCAGGAGCCGGTAGGCATCAAGCAGGAACAAAGACGCTACTCGGAGCAAGGGCATTTCTACTAGGAGCAAAGACGCTACTAGGGGCTCCTGGCCTTGGGGCTCCTGGCCGTACTACTAGGAGCAGGAAGCTACTAGGAGCAAAGGGCATCGCTACTAGGGACGCTATTAGGAGCAGTTCTGTGTTAGATGCTTCCTGATCTCCCGAGCTTCTGGACATGGCTTTGGGACTCTTCCCAGTGACCCAAGTCTTCCGGTTGCCTCCCCGGTGGCTTTGCTGATGGCGTCTTCGAGCCTATTGGCGCGGAGTGCACACAGAGTGCAGAGTGGACAGCAGCTTTGGCAACAAGGACGACATAAGCTCACAGTGAACACGAGGGCGAGAAGAGATAATGAAGGGAAATGAGACTCCCATAAACCTGTGTTCTCTCTTGCCATCAACAACAAAAAATGACCTGAATGTATCTTCGCCTTGTGAGCAAGAAGCTACTAGCTCCTGGCATCGCTTCTTACATAACAAGAAGCTGGTAGTAACAAGTGCATCGCTACTAGTAACAAGTGCCTTACTAGTAGTAACAAGAAGCTACTAGTAACA